AAAGTCTGTTCTGGTGTGCAACAATATATCTGCATTTTAAAATGAGCTTGAAAACAGGCTAAGCTCATTATTAGTATTGCGAGCAAAATAATTTCTGATATATCCTATGCAATGTAGATATGGTCGTGGCAATACAATGATATTTGCTGCTGTATGCCTACATAGTTTTCAAAACTAAAATTCAATGCTTAGCTAAATTGCTAAGCAGACTGGTAAATGTCCAATTTTAGCAGCCTAGCATATGTTTATAATTTTTGTTTTAACATATGCTATGTTGGTTGAACTCCCCTCCCCACACATACGGTAGATAAAAGCTGTCACATCACAAAATGGTGGCAGCCCAACTTTTCTAACATTTTCCATGGCACTTCAGAGTCTTGCATTAATTAGCTATTCTTGGATAGGAGACAGACTCTCATCTTTGTAGAATTTTGGTTTCAAACCCGTCATGTACTTCGGTTTATGTATGCAGTAGCCCATCTGTGTTTCTGCAGCCATGAACAGTAAAAAGCACAGGGCATACAGAAAAGCGGTCAGCGAGGGTGAGGGTGCCCTTTGCTTCGAAGAGATAAATACCTAACAAATGGCCCTGAAAGCAGGCCCCTTTCCTCCACTGGCGGGCTCTAGTTTGCTTGAACAAGAGCTTTTTGTCTCTTCCACTTTTCTAGGAGAGGGGGTGAATAAAACAACACTGGTGCCACAGGCCTTTTTCTTTTCACTGTTAGCTGCTAAACTACCCTTTTTTTTCCTCCTCCTTTTTTAAGGCAGGTGTAAGGAGGAGTTCCACTGAGCCTGATTCTTTCCTGAACCTCAGTGGAGCAGAGGGGACTTGTGACAAATACCACTGCAGCTGTGTTAATGCTGTCTTAATCCTTGCTGCACTATGATGTGGAAACCTGGATTTAGACATGAAAGGACATGCCTTAAAACAGTACAGCAATATGATACCTTATCACATCAAACTGCCTTTTGCACGTGCTCCAAAATCACAATATTTTTTGGTATTCTGTCTGCTCTTTCCCGGTTGTTAAGCTCCTGACTGTGGTGTACTTCTGCATGTGTAAAGTCTACTGTGCTGCTGCACAGGGGACAGTTGGTTTTCTGAGAGGGATGAAGGAGCCTTCACCATCAACTGAAACTGCTAAGAAGTGGCACGGGATCTGTAGTAGAAGGCTGACATTGGCAAGGGCTGTCATATTTGTGCCTGGTCTCTCCACAACACGGACAGGGTTGTTCTAATGCCTTCATCCTTGGGTGGCATGGGTGCCACCTCCTACCCTCTGGTCTACCTTGAAGCTGCTCTAAAGCTTATACCCATGTGCAGGCATGGTTCCAAATGTATTGCCAAAATACAACGTACAATATCATCCCTATAAAAGATCTGAGTTCCTGCAGTTGTATTAGACATCTCAGTATGAAGATTGAGGTACAGGGACAGGCCCAAGGAGCTTCAGAGGAGCTGCTGAGGCACCCGGGAATGTGGCAGTGGCAGCATCAAGGTAAGGACATGTATAATAGGTGATGGTGGGGGCAGTGACTGGAGAAGCCCCACTGGGAGCTGCTGGCAGGGCAGCCTGCTTCCAAAACCCCACGTCGTCTCCCACCTGCGAATCAAAGCCGCTGTCCAGCCTGGAGCGTGTGACCCACTGGTAATGCTGGTGAAGCACTTTGCCATCTTTGGATCGTAGACACCAGTGGTGGTTGTTCAGTGTTTATTTCCCATTTATGTATTTGTTTTCAGCTACAAGACCTACAGCTGCTGTTTGGCTTGCTGTGGTTGTTAGCTGGCTGGCAGTCTTTGCTGTGGGATTCAGGTTTTGTGCGCGGAAACCAGTTTCGTTTCACTGCCAAATAATAAGTATGGTGGAAATGAAGGAAGAAAATGATAAATTTAAACTGTGCTTTTTCAGACCTTTAGATAGATGTCTACTGGAAGTAATTGTCTATTACAAGTGAACATAAGTAATTAGTGTATCCTTAACATCAGTTATTTATTGCTAACAGAAAGGTAAAGAGACTCCTTCATTTTCTAGTGTTGCTCTCCACTCTGGTAAACATTTCCTTGGTTTGAGGGTTTCTTGTACAGTGTAAAGAGCGTAAACATGGCTTTTCCCTTCCTTCTGTATGGCTTCTCTCTCCAAATGTAATTTATCACCAGTTGAGTTGAACTAAGTCCAATAGCATTTTTCTGTAATGATCCCGGAAGTACATGAGTCTGTGGTGGGACAGGGGAGGAGAAGAGTGTTTGTGAAGGACTTCAATTTTTCTGGCACTCTTGTGGGATACTACATCGGTGTCTCCTTTCCTGCTTGTTTGCTCGTTTGCAGTATTTGGACATAAGGTAACTCGCCAGATAACATTGGATAACTGTAACTTTTTTTTTCTTACTGCTCACTGCTTTAGATTAGAATAATAGTGCAGATAGTAATGCAATTTAACTATTTAAGGCACAACCATAATGTTAGGATGAAAACCCTGACACAAATTCATCTGTAGGTTTTTCTTTTGTACAAGTTTGTGAAAAGTATATATTACTTGGTCAGAAAAATTAGTGGTTCTGAACTATGAGAAGCTGATAGCAGTGTTGCTCATTACAAATACTGAAAAATCATCAGGTAAGGCTTTAGAGATGTATACCTTAGAGGCTCCCTTAAAAATTGTGATCTTAAAATAAACAAACAAACGTCGTCCCCCCCCCAGCACTTATGTTTCATGTTCTAATTTCTTTTTCCATAAGGTTATAATCATGACAAGAACTGTTTTTGTGAAAGTTAAACTTCTCATGGTTATCTCATTCTCAGAGGAATGGTATTTAGGAAAGCAGCAAACATCACGAGACTCACGATAAAGTCACGAGAGTTTTTCATACTTTACAGTTATGTCTAAGTTTTGAATTGAATTTTTTTTGAAAAATAAATGTATAGGCAGATGGTGATATTTACTTAAGGGAAGCTGAATTCATTATCTGACTAGAACTGGGTATTTCAAGCAGCTGTTTGAAAATGAGAACTCACTTTCCATGAAGGAGAACGTATGTTTGGGGAAAATGGAGCCTCTTTTCAAAACGTAAGGCTATCCCTCATTTAGTGTATGTCAGAGGGGTTTCTGGTATGTATGTGTGTATTCATTTATGGAAGAACCTTATCAGTAATGGCCAAGAACTAATTTGGTGAAATAGAAGCAGTCCTTAAAAGTTTCAAAACTAGATAAAAGTTGTAGATGTTCTTTCTTCTTAAGATATTCAGCCAGAAAAAGGATTAAACCAAATATTTAGTAATCCTACACTGCCTTGCCAAATTTAATTTCTGACTACCCGACTTGCCTTTATTTTAATTTATTGAGATACAGTTCAGAAGGTAGTCCTATAGAGAACATCCAGGCGTAAGCCAGAAGAAAGGAAGCCAAGTATGAACATACCCATTATCTTTTACAGGTCTGGTTTTTGGGGACTCTAGAATGTGTCTATTCTATTTGCATATATATATATATGGAGCTCAAGAGTATGAAAAAAAATCTTAGCTTGTTTGTTCTTTTTTTACACTTGTGTTTCTCTTATGTTCCCGTGGAAAGCTAGCTAGATACTGTAATCCTAGCGTAAAGATGGAAAGCTGTCACTTGAAGTCTGTGGTCTGTTCATTGCTTATGTCCTTTCTTCCCCCATTTCTTTAAGAAGACTTTCACGGGAAAACTCTTTCACCCAGGAAACCTGTGGCCCTGGATTTCGTGGTTCATAGAGAAATACAAACCTATTTGTTGTTTGGAGCAGATGCCTTTCCCCAGTCACTTAAATTCTAATGCCTCTGCTTTCCTATTCTGTAATAAGCAAATTATAATGCTTAGTTATTTTACTGGAACCTGTGCTAATATTTGTGAAGCCCAACTATAGATTTCCAAGTGACTTTGCATCTCAGAATGGGCTTACGCATTTGGAGTGACTGACGGGCTCGTGAGCCTCAATCTCTGTTTTTGGAATTATCTCTTTGAACACTACAAAATACTGCAGCTGGGTACATGTGAAGCACAAAGCCTGTTTGTAAACAGGGCGGATGTGTAAAGATCACCCTTTGATAGGAAACGAGTTGTTCAGTTCAGACATCTTTCAGAATCTCATCACTTCATCGCCTTCCTGATATTTGGGGAGCCTCCCAATGTGGTACAGTGGTGTAAGCTGTGAAAATAGTCATTCTGGGAACACATAGAAAAGGCATTTTGTGCTCACCCCAAAATGCTAACATTGGTTCTGAGTCTGTAGAGCCTTTATTGTGAATCTTGTGCAATACTCATATGTGAACTTAATGTGCTGTTTATATGTAAATATATGCCTTGTGGTCTGGCCATCTGTTTTTTCACAGTAGTTCAGTAGTTTGAAAGGTTAAACTGGTTTTGTCTGGCATTAAATAAGAATTAATGATGATTGGATGGTGTCTGCCACGTGCATCTGGTTGATGTGGAATGCATTCCATAGCTTCTGCTAACGGCGGGAGGTGAAGCAACAATAAATTAATGCTTGAGGTCTTATTATAAGCAAGTCCCTAACTGCTGAAGGGCATTGTTAAATTTCTGAGTTTCTCATAAGCAGTATTCAGTTATTGCCTTATATTTTAATCGTATGAAAAATACTGTTTCAAAGAAGGCCTGATGTTTACTCAGCTGTAAAGAGTAGCAGTATCTGGGATGGGGTTAAGGCAAGGTCTAGAGTCATTAATACTGATGCAATGATGCAGAAGACTGGTAATTGAGTAAGATATCCTAGCTGAAATTTGATCACAAGGATATTTTCCCTCCTCTGAAGTCAAAATAGTGGTTTGTAATGGGAACTTTGGCATATTAATCAAGCAGACATTTGGATTTCACTTATCCCTGAGATACTAGCAATTCCTGCAGCAAGACTGCAGTTCCTAACTCTTTTTTTTTTTTTTTTTTTTTTTTTTTTTCCC